ATCGGGCGATTCAGCTTTGCAGTTAAAAAATAAGCAGTCTGATACGTTTATCTATTCTAAATACCTTACATAAGATTTCCCACAAATCGACATTTTCCAACGTCAACCGAAAATATACACCGCCATCGTTGTTTCGTTGCGTAAAACTAGCTTTCGCCAATGGTACTGTAGGTTCATTTTTCGGCCACAAAAAAGGTATTTGTGATCGCTAGATAGATGTTTTAGCTGGTTACAATCATGAAAACTGCAGAACGGTTCTCCGCCATAAATTTGTAGGCGAGTGTCGAATCCTCGGTCAATGCGACTTCTCAGGACTGTGGGGGCCGAATGATCAGCGGAAGGAGGCCAACCTACAGGACTGTACTCAGAAGAGCTAGAACTACCACGACGTGTGGAATTCTGTGAATGAATGTCTGACTTATTTGTATGTATTTTAATCGCACAGGAAAGGTCAGAGAACAGGAAAAAACTGTATGAGGTAACGTCATGTAAGTATCTATACCAAAAGTAGTTCTAATGATGAAAAGACCATTGTTCTGTAATATACGTTTTGTCATGTTTATATTCGGAGAGTACAGCTCAAGTTCAAGAGCATTACATATGCTAATTGTTCTCATGTTACTATGTTGCTATTCAGCTAAGAACGAAGAACCAAAAGTTGTGAAAGATCAACCACGCCCAAAGCACGGTGTACATGTCATGCCAAAAGTGCCAACAGATCATAAACTGCGAATCATGAACGCCGCCGCTGATAAGGAGAAACCTGTGCAACAACAGAATGGTGGGCCAAAGACATTAGCCATGAGTGCCGGAGTAGTGGAAAGCTCTGATGACGTCAGATACATACCATTGCCTACGGGACAACAACTGATGGTGGTCAAACATTCCGGATCACCCATTCATCAACAACCTACACGAATAAATGTTGCTGCTGACGAAGATATCGTTGTACCCCAGGGAATGAGGGCCAGGTATTTTTTCAAAGGACAGCCAGTCAGCAAAGATGTGTGGATGCAGTTAAAAGCAAGGTTTGTGTTTTGGGAATAAATGACGGCGTGTACCGTTTCGTGATAATTAAAAGGGAAAATGCATTATTTAAAAAAATTTCCCCACCCGAGTCTCTTTGTATATATTAGAATGCGCAGTGCGGAGCCCTATAACCCCAAAATGTCTAAACAGCTCACCAATAGGTAAATTTCGAGATTATGACTAGAAGAAACGTCGAACAATCATGTTTGGTTTGTATCAACGGTCTGTACAATTATGGAAAAGCATTTGTTTGGTATTGACCTTAAAACTGCAAGATAACAGGGCTGCACGTGGTACCGATCCATATGAGAATTAAGCATTCCAACAATGAGCATCGTAATGTAGTATAATAAAACATTTAACTAATGGAGATAAAGTAACATAACCAAAATATGGCAATGATAATAAATAACCAATTATTTTTATTACACTGATTCTGGTGTTACAGGGCTATGGAAATTCATGGTAAGAAGCTTGCCCACATAAGTGTTATACCAGGCTCCCCTGCAGGCAGCAGTGATAATAACATGAACAATCCGAACAACAAAGCAGTATCGCATACATTGCAAGATTTAATAATTGAACATAATCGTCTTGATGTCCAGTCGGAGGATCTTAGGAGTGGTCCAAGTGAACTACAAAATGCAACAGAACACATGCCTGTTGAGAATAACATTGGTAGAACTATCAATGGGCAGGAACACGAGGTTGATATTCATAATGACGTTTCTGAAAGTCTTGTTGAACAGCTCGATGAAGAAACAGCCTTGGAGCAAAAAGTGATTCCAACTGTAATCCCAGCTGTTGAAAATGGAAAACGAGATCGTATCCAGCAGTGGATACAAGATAGTAATGTGAGGAAGATAATTCCAGAAACAACAGATAGTGAAACGGATGTGGAAACTCAGACAGTGAAAAAATCTCCAGCAAAGAGACGCAAAGAACCAGACGGCCAGGAAAGTATCAATGATCTCCATAAGCACAAAGTGCAGCCCCCTACAAAATCCAATGCTTCAACAAGTCACTGTGTGGCAGAGGTGTCAGATAAAGTCAAAGATAGTAGTTCTTCATCAAAACAAGTGGCTGCATTTTCAGAGATTGTTTCTCAAAGGGAAGAAGCATCTGAGTCTAGCTCCTTGCAGCTAATTATGAATCAAAAGGGGGTTAGTGACAGTAACCAAGAAAATATTCATAGGTCACAAGATGTCAGTCCTAGACAGACAGTGCCATTGAAGAATGACCTAGAAAAAAGTAATGTTCACTCGAACGAGAAGCACCTTAGAAGACTGTCCAAGCGCAGTACGAAGGGTCTTACAATAAGTGATGATGTAAAACCTGAAGACGTCAGTCTTACACAGACAGCGTCATTGAAGAATGACTTAGAAATGAGTGATGTTCACTCAAACGAGAAGCACCTTAGAAGACTGTCCAAGCACAGTACGAAAGGTCATACAATAAGTGATGATGTAAGACCTGAAGACGTCAGTCTTAGACAAACAGCTTCATTGAAGAATGACTTAGAAATGAGTGATGTTCACTTAAACGAGAAGCACCTTAGAAGACTGTCCAAACGCAGTGCGAAGGG